GGGTGAATTTCTAAAGGGGGTAGCCAATACTCAGCTTTAGTTGCCAGCTGCCATGTGGCAAAGTGAGTTAAAAATAGATCTATCATCTAATGGTCAAAAGAAGCCAGAAACCTGGATATTTTTGAAAAATGTTTATCTTTTTAAATGTTCAAAACAAATACAAACTTTAAATGTGGTGGACCAGACAAAACATCTCCAGGCTGGGTTCAGCCCTAGGCTACACGCAATTTGCAGGCTGAGGCTGTGTGAGTCAGGCCTTTGCCCTCTCTGAGGCTATATAGTCCCTGAATTGGGCATGGCAATCCACTGTGGGAGTTAACATGGCAGGTCTAGACAGTCCAGAGCTCATCTACTGCTTCCCACTATGCCTGGCACAAAGTAGGTGGCAAGCTTTAGTCTTATCTTCACCACCTGCCCCACCCCTGCCACTTCCAGGGCTTGCCTTGGCACAATCACAGGTGAATCTGGTGAGAGCTAAGACACAGGGCTGAAAAGAGGAGCAGGCAGGATGGCCGAAGAGCCCAGGCTTGGGGTGGGGGTGGGGTTCTGCTGCTTAACCCCAAGCGGGGACTTATGGAGTGAAGAGAGGGACTGGCCAGCTCTGCATTATAAGGTAACACTAGCATCCTGGGAACAATCGTTGAGTGGCAAGTCCAGAGCAGGGAAGACTAGGGAGAGGAGAAAGCCAGGGGCTACTTGCATACCCACTGGATGCCATCCTCTTGGACATTTGGGGCACATACCTCTCAGCAGCCTTCTCAACGACTCAATGTCATTATCACCATTGCTAATCTGCCACTTATCGAGCACTTGCTATATACCAAGCACTTTAGGAGCTTGGTTCACATATTCCTTAGGACAACCCTATTAAACATACGATACTATTATCTCTGTTCTAGAGATGAAGCTGAGAGGCTGGGTGTTTTACCTTTAACAGTAACATTCATCTAACACATTCTCTGTGTTAAATGCCTCCCATTCATTCATTCATTCATTCATTCATTCATCATTCACAGAGTCCTTATGGCAGCTCATCTCTAAAGTCCCCCCGTGAGCCACACCTCCTAGGGTTCATGCTTTGTGCAGCCCCTTCTCCTCCCATCACTTGCTCTTGACCAACAGAAAGCAGCAGAAGGGACAACATAAGACCTCCGAGGCAAAGTCATTAAATAAACCTTCAGGTTCTGCTTGAATCTCTTGGAATGCTTGCCCCCTGCAGGGACCAGGAACCGTGCTTGAGAAGCCGCGCTCTGACAGCCCCAGCTGAGTTCCCGGCCACCGGTTACACCGACTGCCAGCGCTGTGTGGGGCCATCCTGGGCGCGCCGCCCGGCTGGACCCCAGGCAGCCCCAGCCCCAGCTGGCACCACACCGAAGCATCATGGAAGGCACCAAGCAAGGACTGCCCGGCCAAACCCAGCTGACCCACGAAGCAATAAGATGTAATAACAAGTTTTTATTTTAAGCCACTAAATTTGGGGGTGATGTCTTATAAATCAACAGAGAACTGGAACATTACTCACAAGAGCCCATGAAGTAGAAACTCGGGCTATCCCTGCTTTACAGCTGAGGACACTGAGGCCCAGAGAGGGAAGTGAACTGGCCAGAGTCTGTGGCTAGAGAGGGTCCAAGTCAGCATCTGCTCCCAAGCTGCCTGATTCCAAAGGCCGCCCCTCAGCCACCCCAATACTGCCCACAGAGATCCAGCAGGATGCACCAGGAGAAGGCTTGAACAGGGCTGTCTGTCAGACCGTGACCCCTACCTGGCTGTCTGACTCCTAACCACAGAGACCACCTTCCTGTGGGGGTGTCCCCCCGACAAGATGGTGCCCAGCCTCAGCTGCACTGCTCAGACACCCCGACCTCCTGAGCCCCCGCAGCCTGTACCTCCCTGCTGGCCAGGACACAGAAGCTGGCACTGTCTTGCCTCCTGCCTGGGGTGGGGGCTGGGGAGGCTTTGGGGCCAGAATTTTGACAAATGGCCTCACACATATTAAACAAGATAGATGGCACTGCGCAGCCCTGGCGAAGCCCCAAATGCGAGGGATGAAAAATGGGGCTGATCCATCTTGCAGGACTCCGTGACAAGAAGAAATGGATCAGCCCTAACAGGGGCCTCACGTGGGGCGGCCACCTTAAGTAAGTCAAATGGGAATTCGGTGTTCCTTGGAAGGCCAGCCCCAAGGCAGCAGAGGAGCAGGGTGGGAGGCCGGGCTTCCAGGGAAAGAAATGTTCCCGTGGCTGACCCAGTGTGCTCAGTCCTCAGCGCAAGTGCCAGGGTGCAGAGTCAGGGGCTTCTGGAAAGACAGGCCTGTGGGAAGAGGGGATCTTATTGCCACTTAAGACTGTGGGGCTCTGGACAAATGACCCAAACTTTCTGAGCCTCAGTTTCTGCAGATGTAATGTGGGGTTATGGTACATATTAAATTTCACATCCATAACAGTAATATCAGAAAAGCAGCTGTTTACTGAGCACTTCCCATGCATCAGAGTGTGCTGAGCACACCCATGAATTCATTCTCAGAGAGGCAGAATATAGAGGTTGAGAGCATGGGCTCCAGAGCCAGACTTCCTGGGTTCAAATCCCAGCTCTGTTACTTACAGGCTGGATTACCTTGGGCAGGTTACTTATATTCTCTGTACCTTAGTTTCCCCCACAAAGTACCCACTTCATAGCCCTGTTGTGAGGATGACATATCAGCGCTCAATACATGTAAGACATCATTACACACAACACTCAGAAATGTTCATTCACTTCCCTAGTCCCCTTCTCTAGCTCAGAGTGGCTACCTTCCAAGGTCAAGATCTCAGGCAGGAACTACTGGGGAGTAGGGTGGGTAAAAGGGGGTCAGAGCCTCAGCTGGTTTCCCTGCCATCTGTCTACTTATGGGGGTCAGAGACAGGGTTGCTCAGTCAAGGTCCCTTTAAGGTACACACCTTTAGGGGGCAGAGCCAAGCAGACAGTAGGGGCAGAAATGTAGCAGGAGTCCCCGCTGGTCAGAAATGGGGTCTTACTTAGTCACAACCTTTTCTGCTCCATTCTCACCATCTTTTTCAAAAAATGCGATCTCCCCACCAAGTCTCTGCCCGTGTTTTTCCCTGCTAGCACACTGTCTTATTCCCTGCCCTGCCTGTTTGCCTGCCCAAAGTATTCCAGAGGACCCTCCCTTGGAAAGCCGGGTCCATGAGCCCTCCTCTGCCCTCCCTCAGTTGTCTGTGAGTCCCCACACCCACGTCATAGCTTGTATGCTTGTCTCAGGCTCCTGTTACACCACTGTCTTGGCCACTTCTATACCCGCAGCATCAGGAGAGCAGGTGCTCCCAGCAAGTGCTCAGTAAATACATGTAAAATGGCTGAGGGGGTAAAGGGTTCCCAGCCACAGGACCAGACCTGCATACTGGACGAGTACTGGGCCAATGAAGTCATTGTGTTGCCAGCCCACTCCACTCCCACCCCATGTCAGTTTGCCAGTGGGGTCTGCTCCTCCTCTTTCCTCTGTCCAAGGGCCTGGGGTGGAGCCAACTGTGCGCTCTGGATCCTGTGACTCAGGCCAGACCAATTAGAGCATCCAGTCTCCTCAGAGTCTGAATCACGGGTTGAGGGATGCTCACATGACTTCAGCTAATTAAGCTATTCAAGAACTTTAGCTGGAAATATTGGGAAAAAGCCCTATCTCTCTGCTGGTACTGCTACATTTATAAGATGTAAGCCTAGAGCTGAGCATGGTGACCACCTTTGCTCCCACTTGGGGAAAGTCTGCTTGTGAATGGAGCCAACACAGAAGGGACAGAGACAGTAAAGGGGGAAAATGACCGGTTCCTGATGAGTCACAGGATTACCTGGATCCAGGTGTGCCTGAAGCAAACACTGTGGTAGCTCACCCAGCATCCATTTCACCCACTCACCATTTAAGAGTTTCTGACTCACACCTTGCTCCAGAGATAGGCCTGGTCAAACTGAGCCAACAAACTCTTAACATTCCCCCAGCCCTGGTGATGATTCAGGAAAGAGAAAATGACCGAAGTCAGGCCCATCAAAGGGAGGCTTGGGACTACAGTCAACATTGGGGAAAGAGAAGCCTTTTCTTCTCCTGTGTATGAAGGACAAAGAATCAGTGTCAGAAGGGCTTTCTCACCACCAGGAAGGGACATCTCCCCGGGGCAAGGTTAACATGTAGAGGAGGCAATGCTCAGATGATTACAGAGGAGAGGACTCAGGCTTGGTGACTTCAGTGGCTCTGGATCAAATGTACCCTGAAGCCCACGGCCCAGCTGCTTAGGCTGATGTGATGGATTTTCCTATTCCAACCCAAGGCACCCTAGCTGACTACTTGACCACACACCCCTTGCTTACTTAAGCTTGGGATTCTACAGCTGGTAAGCTGGTAAGCTGCCTTCAGGTGTGACCAACATCCCTCTCCACCTTCCAGAGCAGCCTCTATTCCTATATTCGGGGTCCCTCACTGGGGTCCTGCTAACCTGTTGGACCTCCCAGAACCCTCCACAGCTTGCCTGCCTTCAGGTGTGACCAACATCCCTCTCTACCTTCCAGAGCAGCCTCTAAGGCTGCAAACTTTCTCTGTAAAGGGCCAGGTGGTAAATGTTCTGGCTTTGTGGGCCATCCAGTCTCTGGGGCAACCACTCAGCTCTACCACTGTAGCATGAAGCAGCTGAAGTCATGTAAATGATAAGCATAGCTGTATCCCAATAAAACTTTATTTATGGACACTGAAATTGGAATTTCACATAATTTCACATGCTACAACATACTTTTCTTATTTTGACTTATTTTCATGCATTTAAAAGTGTAAAACTGTCCTTAGCTTGAGGGCTGAATAAAAACAGGTGGTAGGCCAGATTTGGTCCACAGACCCAGATCTAGGGTTTCAAAGTGCCTGAGAATCTGGGCTACCTCCACGTCTCCATCCCTTGAAATGGGCCAAGCTGCTGAAGTCCCAGCATGTCTGGGGGCTCTGGGTCTGAAGGTCAAAAGCTACTTACCAGAAGGACCACCCGTAGTCCCAGGAATGGGGTCTCCAGTCTTCAGGGCCAAGGCTCACGGTGACCTGGAACACCTGCGTGTACATCATGTGGGCTACCATTCCCAGGAGGCCTGTGGGGTGGGGGGGCAGAACAAGGCATCAGGAAGCAAGGCAGGGCTTTGCCCACCCCCTAGGGGCCCGTTAGTGTTAGGGGAAAGCATGGACCTCCGGGGGAAGGGTGCTCAGTAGGACCAATGCACAGGAGGCAGGAGGGTGGTGGTTTTCTAAGCCAGCCAAGGAGTTTGAGTTTTAGCCAGAGGGCAAAGGGCAGCCCTGGAGAAATTCAAGCAAGGAAGACACAGAGTCAGATCTGTGTATGGATAGGCAATCCTTTTCTGTTAAGGACCAGATAGGTAAATATTTTAGGCTTTGTGGGCCATGTGGTCTGTGTTGCAACTGCTCAACTCTACTGTTGTAGCACAAAGGAGCCAAAGACAATACATAAATGGATAGCATGGCTGTGTGCTAATAAAACTTTATTTACAAAAGCTGGTGGTGGGCCAGATTTAGCCCATGGGCTATAGTTTGCTAATTCCTGTGTTAGAAGGTCATTTCTTCACTTGACTCACTACACTAGTGGGTCCTGAAACCAATTTCATGGATTTTGCAACTAGCTAAAAAATTAACAAGAATGGAATGGAATGGAATAGAAATGTCTGATACCATCAAATGTAGTAGGAATGAATACTGTTTTATGAAACATTTCAGTTCTATACATGTATTTATGTGTGTAGTGATTGTAACATAAAATGTTTTCCTGTGGCTCATGGTCAAAAATCTGTGAGCCCACTAGCTGAGAGAACTTTGATTCTAAGGAACCTGAGTCGAAAGCCTCTTCCACCACATTTTCACTATGTAGCCCTGGACAAGGCTTGCCTGTCTGAGCCTCAGTTCTTTAAACTCTAAGGTGAGAATCATGACAGGCAAGGTGACAAGGGAATGACATACGGCAAGGCAACCCAGTGTCTGGTGCCTGGTGGCGATCATTACAGCTACCAGGATTATTATGAACCTGGAGACATTTCTCTGTGTGGACTGTGGCATCTGGAGGCCTCAAGGGGGGCCACAGTGTGTGGCTTACTGGCAGGACCTAACCTTAGGATGGAGGGATACAGTATCTATGAGAAGGAAAAGGATAGAGATGACAAGAAGAAAGGAAACCACTAATGCTTGTGCCCCTACTATGTGATACGTACTCTGTCAGACTCTAATTTTCATAACAACCTTCTGAAGCAAAAAAAGAAAGAGTTGAGCAGTTGCAACACAGATCACATGGCCCACAAAGCCTAAAATATTTACCTATCTGGTCCTTAACAGAACAACCTTCTGAAGTAAGGGCCATGTCCTGTTGCTCATGTTGCCCACTGCACGTCTCCATAGGGCTTGTTCACATCAGAGTCTATGTGCAAGTGACTCCCTGGAGTTGAAGCAGAACCACACCTGCAAGGCTGTGTATGGTAGCCCTGAATTTGATTATTCCCATTTCACAGTTGAGAAAATAGAAACTCAGAGTGGTGAAGTCTGTCCAAGGTTACAAAGGGAGTAGATAGCATAGTTGTGACTGGGGCCCAGATCCAAATGCTCTTAAATCCAAATGCCCTTTCCATGATACCTATAGTCCTCCCCCTGTTGCCCCAGTTACCCTTTCCCCTGTTCCTGATGAGGAGACAGAGAATAGGGAGATAAGGAAGGGAGAGCTAGAGATAAGAAAAGGCAGAAGTAAAGAGGGAGTGAGGCTCTGTGTCCTGAACCCAGCTGTGTGCAGTAAGGGGGTGGGGGGGGGGAGGGCATCCTGTGTTCCCATGGAGTGAAGGTAAATGTTTAAGTGGTTCTCCTGAAGAAAAAAGCCCTGATTTGTAGTATTTGCCAATTTCCAACACAGCCAATTTCAAGCTACCAACGCGACGTCACTACAAGTAGAGCAGAGAAGAGGTGTGCACAGTCGGCACTGGTGAGCTGGTGCGAGCAGGCAGGAACACACCCGTGTCTCCTTCCGGGCCCTTGACTCCATGCCCAGTGGAAACCAAAGACTCAGAGGTGGTGGTGTGTCCCTGGGCTGGAGTCACTCTCTCATGAACATTTTTCATGGCTTTCTGACCTCAGGATGAAGACTGGTGGGGAGCACTTGAGTCAGGAAATCCAGAGGAGGGTGACCATGACAAGTGCCAAGGCTCCCTCAGGAGCCTCCTCAAGGGCCAGCCTCCCCCAGGCTCTCTGCCAGGCCAGAGCACAACCTAGATGTGCTCCTTAGCTACACCCTGGCAGGTGATGCCAGACAGTCCTGGGTTCTCTCACACCCACCAATGGTAGCCTTTCCAGTCTTCTCTGCCTTGGCTCAGTCTGTTGGAAGGAAGAGAAGAGGGCTGAGCCATATGGATACCTTATTTCTCTTTACTTGACAAAATTCTGGTGAACTTGCTAAGAGGCACAGAATGGATATACCTTATTCATTGGAACTAATGCATAGAATTCTTTGATAATGAAGTACCATGTTTTATTTATCCAACCAATTGATGGCATTTAAGTTATTTCCAATTTTTGGCTCTATAAGCAATGCTGCAATGAACACTCTTCTACAAGTCTTCTTGTACATACAAGGAAGTATTTCTCCAGAACGAATAACAAGAAGTATATGCATTTTAAATTTGAGTATGTTGCTGAATTGCTGTCCTGAGTGGCAGAATCATTTTGTAGTTCTGCCAGCTGAATGAGAGTATGCACCCAAATCCTCACCAAAACTTGATGTTATAAAGTATTAAAAATGTTGCCCATTGCATGGTGAAAAATGACTCTTCAACGTTGTTTTAGGTTCTATATTTTTTCTCATTATCAGTGAGCTTGGACATTTTTCACATGTTTACTAACCATTTCTATTTCTTCTATGAATGTGCCTGCCTGTATCCTTTCTCAATTTTTCTTTTTTTAAAAATCTCTTATGAATTGGTAGGAATTCTTTATGTATCCTGGATACTAATCCTTGTGCCCCTACTGTGTGATACGTACTCTGACAGACTCTAATTTTCATAACAACCTTCTGAAGCAAAAAAAGAAAGAGTTGAGCAGTTGCAACACAGACCACATGGCTAATCCTGTCTGCTAATCCTGTCTGCTGCATAGACTACAAATAGTTTACTGCTTGTCTTTTCCCATGTATAGAACATGTTTTTTTTGTTAATGGACTATTTTTTGGAGCAGTTTTAGGTTTTCAGAAATACTGAGTGGAAATGACAGAGAGTTCCTATATGCCCCCTTTCTCTGCCCCCACAGCTTCCCCTTTTGCATTAGTGTGTTACACTTGTTACAACTGATGAACCAGTATCGATACATTACTGTTAACTAAATCCACAGTTTACATTAGACTAACTCTTTGAGTTGTACATTCTGTGGATTTTGACCAATGTATGATGACCTGTATTCACCATTACTGCATCAAATAGTTTCATAGCCCTAAAGATCCCCTGTGCTGCACCTATTCATCCCTCCTTCCCCACCCCCACCCCAAATCCCTGGCAACCACTGATATTTTTACTGTCTCCATAGGTTTGCCTTTTCCAGCATGTCATATATATAGTTGGAATCATACGTATAGCCTTTTCAGACTGGCTTCTTTTACTTAGTAATATGGATTTATGGTTCCTACATGTCTTTTCATGGCTCATAGTTCATTTCTTTTCATTGCTGAATAATAGTCCATTGTCAGATGTACCACAGATCATTCACCTATGGTCTACTCACCTAGTGAAGGACATCTTGGGTGATACTGAGTTTTGACAATTATATATAATGGTGTTTTTGTCATACATTTTGGTATTTTATATACATTTTGGTATTTGATATAGTCAAATTTATCAGTCTTTTCTTGTTTTCACTTCCTATATCTAGTTTAAGAAAACCAATATTATACACCCATTTGCCTATATTTTTATGTTAATTCACCTGGAATTCATCTTGGAGAATGGTGATGGGTAAGGATCTAAGTGAACTTTTTAATGAGTAGCTAGTTGCTTGGAATGCTTATAGAACAGTGTGTTCTGTCCCCACTGATTTAAATGACACTTTAATATCATGTTCTAAGCTCCACATATAAGTGACTCTATTTCCAAATTCTGTTCCACAAACCTCTCTGTTCTTGTCAGTGCCACACTAACTTACAGTAGAGTCTGTGCTGGAAGACAAGTCTCCCCTCTTTACTACCCAGTAGTCATTCCCTCTGGAAATGCTGCCCTACCAGGAGTCTTAGCTCTTGGGTGGGACCCCAAGCCCTTCCTTAGCCCCCACCAGTCCCTTTCTGAGGGGGGACCTTGCTCTCCAAAACCCTCAGCTATTGTAACTTCTTCAATTCTTTCCTCACTGTACCAGTCCAGATGTGATCCCTGAGTGCCTTGCTTTTCTCATCTATAAAATGGGGATAGTAGTAGACAGAGGCAGTTTCAATGAGCATCCACTGAAGAAGGAAAACATTCACAAGAATGACCATGACAGTGGGCATATAACAGCATTTCAATACAAAAGCTCCCAGCTAGACCCAGAAGCCAAGCCCAGCCTGTTGGCAGAATTTTCCAAATTGTTAGTTGAGGAAAGCATTGATTTCTCAATTGAATTCCATTTTTCCCAAATATGAAAGCTCATGCTTTAAGAACATTCAATAAATGAAAATTACAGTCCACTCACAGACAATTGGTGAGATTCTCTGATTGCATTTTAAAGATTCTGCTTCAAAAGTCTGACCCTCGCCCATGTTTGTTTTGTAAAGTGAGGTCCGCTAGTAGCATCTATCATATGAATCCTCAGCAGAAGGAACTGTTTCCAATTCATCTGAATTAAAAAGTGACTTTCTGCTGAGTTACTGCACCTCCTAAATTAGCACCAACTAAATGAATGAGGTTTTCCTGTGCATCATATCGCTGCTTCCTGGCATGGACCCACACCAGGAAACTCAGAGCTGTAAATCTCATGGTTTCCGGAATGTCCCAGCGCTGACACCATCAGTGGAATTCCAGCCCATGTGGTGAGGCAGGCATGGCTCCTCCCTGACCCTGGGGGACCTTGAAGAGCACTGGGGGTGGGGGGA